GAGAGAGAGAGAGAGAGAGAGAGAGAGAGAGAGAGAGAGAGAGAGAGAGAGAGAGAAGACATGAGATAAAGCAAGAAAGGGAGTTGGCTGGAGGTGTACAGGGAAAAGTGGGATGAGCTGGACAATGAACAGTGTCATTGATGTCTTGAACCAGATAATTCTGTTCCTGGGCACTCTTAGGATGCATGAGATAAGCTCCCAACCTACGTGGCTAGCACTCAAAAGGCTAAGTGAAGGAAAACATAGAATACAAACCCAGACAACGGGTCCACAGCTATGGAGGCAGGCTCTCGCAAGTCAGAATTAAACAGGAACTTCCTCTTGGCTCCGTCTAGGGTAGCTACTGAAATAGTCTTAGAAGCCGCATCAGTCCAGTAGATGGTCTTGTACACCCAATCAACAGCAATGGCTGCAGGATTATAGACATTGTCGATCATTTTAAAATGTCTACCAACCTTGTCATCAATTGAGGCACTGAAACAGAATAGGTCACAAGAAATTTAAAAGTTGTCACCATTGGACCCCGGAGAATGGACTTTCTGCTTATAAAATGGTCAAGGACTTTATTCAGAAAGGACCCTAGGAACCCCACAGCTCTCCACTAAAATTATTCAGCCATGTTGCTTAGGGATGGAAAACTAGCAATATTGTAGCTTGTCTAGTTGTGTTATGTATTCTAGATGCAAGAAAAGCATTTGACTCAGCAGCCATCATCGGGTCTACAGCTTCCACTGAGGAGAAGCTACTACCATCATTTTTGTTTGTAGCAGGAGAAGACAGTTCATAGCTATAGAAGGAGAAAATATGAGGAATTCAGGTGTCATCTGCAGGCACTGTCACCTTTTCCTTCATGGACAATGATTCATTCCTAAATAACAGCTGACAGTAACTTATTAGCTGGAAAACCAGTGTTGGGTTTAATACTCCCAACTGACTAGATGGTAGACTGGAGCCAGAAACAACAGAAGCCCCATCCCCTACCCCAATCTTTTCTACAGGCCCAATGACAGTGACTTATATGTTCGGATGTCAGGAATGCAAGTGAAAGTTACCTGAAGATGGCCTTTTGGCTTAGATCAGCCCAAAATAGCTTCTGAGCTGCAATGTCAGCATCGAGAGCCACCGTGTTTCTTAGCTGTTCTACAAGTTGGATGTATTCCTTCCTCTCTAGGCCAATCTTCCTGATGTCTCTTCGATTAGTGAAGATCAGACTTGGCTCTCTGCCTATAAGACATAAGCCAGGTTGATTTGGTTTTGCTATAAAGCAAGATCTTCTAAGTCACTGCCTCGCCACAGAGGACCATTTCTACAGATACTGCTGAACATCTCAGTAGTACCCAGCCTGGAGTTCAAGCCCCCTGGGCCCATGAGTACTTCTACTCTATTTAGGAAGGCAGTCCTGGGGTTACAGCATTCAACAGTAGGGTGGCTGATAAACAAGATATTTGTTTGCATTGTGCTCAGTTCCAGAAGCAAAAAGGAAGTGAATGTGGAGAGTCTTCATAGTATCCAATCAAAAGGAAAGACCAAGGCAGATGCACGGGAAGGTGATCTGCCTTAAGTTATCCTGCTGCGCTAGTTTAGTAGCATTGCTCTGGGGTACGACTTTATGTGTAGGTTGACTGCTGCAGTCACCAGCTGTACCTTTTAGAATCACTAACTCATAAAGGTACCAGAGCAACACCAGCCCAAGTCCATTTACCTACTGCCTTGCACACGCCAGTGGCAAGATCCATTTGATAGCCACGACTACATTCACACTTGTAACCGCCTTTTAAGTTGATACAAATTTGACTGCAGATCCCCGGATTTTGGCATTCATCAATATCTAGGAGGGAAATTAGAATTAGTCTTGCTGTTCCTCTGCCTTGCTAGATGCATGTTGTCCTTTCCCATGTCCTCCAGGGGCCAGGCTCTTTGCTTCCACTCACCTCCACAGGTTTTCCTATCTATCAGTTCAAACCCAGCTGCGCAGTCACATTCATAGCCTATAACTAGGTCTTTGCAGATGTGGGAACAGCCACCGTTATTGACCAAGCATTCATTGATATCTGGAATAAAAGGGTAGCAAAAGTCAGCTGGCAGCTTAGTCTTGGTTTTTAATATAATATTTTAGATTTCTTCTTTGAGACTTCCATATACAGATACAATGGATTTTGATCTTATCTCCTGTTCCATACCCCATCCAACTCTCTGAAGATGCTGCACACACATTTCCCTCCCAACTTCAACTGTTCATTTTTTTTTTCTGTTTCAAAACTCAGAGTCCAAATTAGTACGACATCTTATTCTTAATTGATAGTTGTCTTATTCACATTCAGACTCAGGCTGCTGCTGCTGGCCTTTCTAAGATCTGATTATTTGTTCTGTAGATAAACGTTTCAGGCTGGATGGTAGGCAACCAGTTAGTTACGCAGGATTTACTCATGTTGCTATCAATTTTAGTTATTTTAAGGAGTTTCTAAACTCAGGGTAAGTTTGCCACTGGGTGGAACCCCATGTCATAAGACTTTATTGTCAAGCTTATATTAAATTTTAGTTCATTCTGAGTTCAACAGGGCATCAAGCAGGGTCCAAACGGCGTTGGCTCCGACGGACTGAAGGGAAACCCCCAGCTCTGGCCTCAAGCAAGCCCCTCACTTACTGCATTCCTTCAGGGGCTCATCACTCCAGTCTCTGCAGTCCTGCTCCTGGTCACACACTTTGCTGATGTCTATGCATTCTCCACTTCTGCACTTGAACTTTCCAGGGCCCAAGCACTGATTGACTATAACACCAAACACAGGAGAGAAGTCCCGTTATTGGTCCGACCAGTGCAACCAACGGTCTCCCCGAACACGATGGAGTGAACCTCACCGTTTTTGCAGTTGATTTCATCAGAGCCATCAACACAGTCTCGGATGCCGTTGCACTGCCTGCTGCCATGGATACAGCTACCGTCTTCACACTCAAACTGGTCAGGTCTGCAGGTTCGAGATGCTGTGGAAGGAGGTAACACAATGGGATGAAGCCAGTCAAAGGGTCCCCAGCTGATGCATGGAAGAGAACTGGAAAGTTACTTACGGCAGTTGACCTCATCACTGCCATCCTTGCAGTCAGGATCTCCATCGCATCGCCATTTTTTGTGAATGCACTCGCCAGAGCCACACTGGATCTCGCTGGCGGGACATTTGGTATGTATCACTGGCTGACGGCCACACTGTTCAAGAGACTCGTCCGACTGGTCAGAACAATCTGCGTCATCATCACACACCCAGCTGAGGGGGATGCAGGAAGAGGTGCTGCACTGGAACTCATGAGCCCCGCAGGTCGGTGGGGCACAGTCCAGCTCATCACTGCCATCATCACAGTCGTCCTGGCCATTACACACAAAGTTCCTGGAGACACAGCGGCCGCTGGAGCAAGTGAACTCATCAGCACTACATGTTATGTTGCCTGTCGGAGGGAAGATGTCCCGTTGAAAGTACATCAGCATCTGCTTTTAATACAAGACTCTCATCACCAAATCAAATGTATTGATCTTTGATGAGTAACTTTAGCTTTCGAACGTAAAAGCTATAGTGCTATTATATTGAGAACAAGTTTCTGAAATATAACAAAACAGTTTCACAGTATAAAATAAGATGCAGCCATACTATATATAAGAGCAGAAATAAAGGACCGAGAAAACAGTAGAAGGCTAGAAACTAATTTGAGATGAGACCCACAACTGACACTTAAAGGGACAGTGATCAATATCTTAAGCTGGTTTCAGGGACTTCATTTTGGAAGGCAGAGTTATACCTAGACCAACCTATTATATGTCAGCCCAAACCACATCACTAGCTGAGAATATGTATCAGCTATATATGGGCAATGTAAAATGGATATTAAGGCACTATCCAAAAAGAAACAAACCAAAGAACATTCTACATGGTTCCTTTCTTTTGGGTTCTTTAAATAAACATTAGGAATACCATCTTAATAATTTTCAGATTTTTTTTCCACTGCTAGGACCAGAATCACAGCCTAGCAACTCTGCATGCTAGTCATGACAAAGTAGTCACAGTAGCCAGTTTAGGTTTTGATTTAAATTCCTGCCAAACATACCAAGGTCACAATTTGGTGGTAATTGGTGAAAGGAGACCACGACTCTCTTGGGAAGCAAAGTGTAGATTTGCAAGGGAAATGTTTGGCAGCTCCAGGGCTTGCCATAGCAATGGATGAAGCTCGAGTCTATGACTGAACATGAAACTCATTGGACTAGGTGCAGTGGGATTGCCCCCACAGAGTGACTTGTACATGCCAAACAAGTGTTTCACCTGCAAGGACCCTGAGCTCCAGACTAGTGTTTCACCTGCAAGGACCCTGAGCTCTAGACTAGTGTTTCACCTCTAAGGACCCTGAGCTCCAGACTAGTGTTTCACCTGCAAAGACCCTGAGCTCCAGACTAGTGTCTCACCTGCAAGGACCCTGAGCTCCAGACTAGTGTTTCACCTGCAAAGACCCTGAGCTCCAGACTAGTGGTGTTTCACCTGTAAGACCCTGAGCTCCAGACTAGTTTTTTCACTTGCAAGGACCCTAAACTCCCTTAGATATTACAGCAGCCTAGAGTTAGGCTCAACAAACTCAGGTTTAGAAGCACTATGAAGGAGTGGTAGGTTGCAACAACACTCAAAGCAATGTTTTTCAACCTACAGGTTTTTCTCCAGGGCCTCACCTTTAACATGGAACACTTCATTATAGACACCCCAAGAATATAAGCGTGAAAGAATAGGAAATAGTGCTAGCATTCAGAGACAGGAATCATCATAGGACACAAAGGTTGGGTAGACTTTAGCTATCTGCTGGCAACATGCTAGGCCATGCTTCTATGCTAATGTACCAATAGATTCTAGTTGGCAGAAATGCTTGTATCACACTCAAGTAACTTGTTCCAAGAAGCCGATCTAACTAAATCTTTGAATGTGTCTGCTGGCCCCATCACCTTTTAGTTTTATTGAGCCAAATGTAAGGAAGACCCTTGAATTACTGTCATAAAAGAAAAAAGCCCACATAGCTGCGGCCTTACTAAGCTACGCTAAATGTACTATGCTGAATGTCAGCATCGAGATGACTTCTTTGCTTGCTTCTATCTGCCTGGAAGATGCACCAGGCAGTGGCCAATTACCAGGAATAGGCCTTTCACAGTTTTATGGTGGCCAGGAAGGACCAACATTGAGCAGACAGCAAAGCCACTGAAAAGTGACTCAGTGGCACTGTGTCTTCGGGCTTAAGTTAGCATCCCTCGCCCACCTTTCTTTAGGAAAAGGGTCTTTGGGGTATGCCACTTCACACTGGTCTTCTTACCACAGTTTTCTTCATCTTCGCCATTGTCACAATCACTCTCACCATCGCATCTCCAGGACACTGGGATACACTGAGTAGAACGGGCGCCACAGCTGATTTCATTTATGCGGCATGTTCTCATATCTGTTGATGACATACAGTCTCAAAAGAGCCTCCAAACTGGTCATTGCAAAGGCGCTGCTCCTGTGCTGCCTGGAAGTGCAACACCTGGGACTCAGTGGTCAGGTACTCGGGGCACACTGACTAGTGGAAGCCAGGCAGCTCCTTCGCCAGCTCCGTCCTTAGAAGCTGTGCCAAGCAAGGCCACCTGGCAGCACACCCGAGAACCTTGACCAGGTCACTCCTTCAAGGTTCCGCGGCATGCTCAGTTCTGGCTTTTGTTTTACTTGGCACGATTAAGTTGATTTGTTGGCCTGTTCCTAGTCCATTACTTATGTTTGGCTATCAGTGGGCACACCAGATATTGTCACCTAATCCTGACTCAATTAAAGGTCAGATGGGCTAATACCTATGAGACCTTCCATGGAATAGTGGCCTTCCTAGGCCTCCATTCGCATCTTCCTTTATATATGCAAAGCAGGAATATACCCTGATTCTTGATTTTACCATGTCATTAACCCCTGAAACATGGGGCTGAATCTGTGTAGATCCTGTCTAGGACCCTCAGGTTTCTAACTCGCTGACAAAATTGTCTACTTCTTGGTAGAAAATAACCACCGTGGTTATTTTCATAATCATATCCTTAACCTAAACTTGGTTCATGCCAATCCTATTTCTTCTGTGTCAACAGGGCTCTACTGCGATGAAATCTTCAGACTTTCCTGCATCCTAGCATCCAAATGATCCCAGTTTATTTGAGCTCAACACACCTTTCTCTGTGGTTTGTGGACCTCTCCCTGCACATCAGCCTATGGGCAGAGAGATATATTTGTACCTTCATGAAGTTTTTCTTATTCAATAACAAACTCTATGGCCTCTGCATTAGGTTATTATACATTTGTTAAAATCCCCAAACTACCCTATTACTAACCACCTTGCTGTTTTAATAATAGCATGTTTTCATAGTACGAAAATCTGTGCATTTCAAAGCTTATGTGTGACCCTTAGGAAACCTTCATATCTTGACTTAAATTCTAGGTTCAGGGGACCATTTACTCAGTTATTGTCAAACAGTTGAAATCTATGCACCTAGTCAAGGAGTTCTTAATTGAGTCTGCTGGCTTCAGTCTTAAGTATTCAAAGGCGAAGCTACCCAAGAGAATGTCAGTCTTGTTAGACTAGGGAGAGCAGTCTTTAGAGGAGATGGAATAACTGTTAATAGCTTGAATGACCTTCAAGTCAGTTGGCCTCAAGTTCAAGGCAGGCAAAGAAAAATGAATGCCAAGCAATCGATAAAGCATCACTTAGAATGGAGACAGAACAGCACAAAAGAAATCAAGTCCAAAGCAAGTCAAGGCACACTCACGGCACTGTTCGGGGCTTTCATCAGAACCGTCTTCACAATCAGGGTCCCCATCACACTGCCATCTGTTAGGAACACACTGGCCATTTTTGCACACGAAGTCAGACTCAGCACATGTCTTCTTTACTACAAGAGTTTATTCTCAGAGTTAGAATTGAAGTCAATGATCCCAGACCCCAATTTTCATATTAAGGTAAAAACTATACTTTGGTATGTCTTCTTTAAAAGTAATGCTGAATCTGTTGACTGATATTCAACTGTTGGCATCTTTAGAAAGCTCATCGTTTTTCTCATAGGTTTCAGAGGAGGGAGTTATTCATTGGAGAGATTTTGAGGACAATAAACTGAAGGAAAGACAAAGGCTGTCCATTGTCTTATGACCCAGGGATGTTTCAAACGAACTGGTCTGTTTACAATGTTAACACTATGGATTTCTTCCAACTCACTCACAAACTCAGAGGTGTTTTTCTCCAAGTCCATTTTCTGTCCCTAAAATGGAACACTTGAGAGTAGGCAATTTATAAAGGAAAGAAACTTATTTCAACTCAAGCTTCTGAAATGGGAATCCTAAGAGCATACCACTAACACCTGCTTAGCTTTGGGTGAGGACCTCATGCCTTGCTTCTCAGCCCACTCTCTTAGTAATTAATCTGGTCTAGGGAGAAAGGATTTATTCCCTCTCACTGATCTAATCACTTCTTAAATGCCCTGCCACCTCTCAACACCATACTATTAAAAATCAAGCTTCAGCATGAGCTCCAGAGGAGACAAACCATAGAAAAAGTCTTAACAATCAAACACTCCATCCTCTGACTAGCCCTTAGGATAACTGTTCGCCGTGGAGTGAATATGTGTGCCTTCATAAACTTCATATCCTGAAATCCCTACAGCACTGTTCTTTCTACAAGGGAGGACTTGAGGGAGGCGATTAGGTCAGGAGGATGGAGACTTCACAAATGGGATTGATGCCCTTGTTAGAAACCTTAGTGCTTGTTTCTCTCTCTCTCTCTCTCTCTCTCTCTCTCTCTCTCTCTCTCTCTCTCTC